GTTCGTTTGTTGAGTTTCGTTGTGCAGTTCTCACCATAAGCTTGGAGAAAACACTCCTGCTTAGCTTCTCACCTTCTATCTTATTTATGAAAAGTGAGAGTTGGTCTAGTCCGTTGTTACTATAAGAGGGAAAGGAGAACGTCCAGAGCATCCTCAATGAACACTTCTTCTAGATTTATTTCGAAAATTATGCAATTATGAGGTGAGGAAACACGGGACGCTTGCAGTAAAGGTCAGACGACTGAGGACGATAGAGTATGTACCTGAATAAACGAGACCGGTGCCTCCTTACGGCACTTACAAAAAGCTTGTTTCGGGCTGAGAAGACGCTACCACCCCTATCGATGGCTCACGAGCCTACGGCGTTCTTGACAAGCATGACAGTACAACGTCTGTGGAGGCTGGTCCTTTCACCTCATTAACGAAAAACATCTCAGGTTTCAGTCAGCTTCGTCGTCGACTTTGAGTTTGATCTCGCCCATTCATCCCCATATGTCAGGGAAGTCTTAGAATTGGCCACAATGACCCACGTATACCAGGCATACACTATAGCACTACTCTAGAACCTCTGGGACTTTGCTTTATTCACTGGAGGGATACAGCTATAGAAAGAGCTGTAGCCGGAAAGCAATCCCCCGATTTTGCCCTCCGAACAGGCACGAAAAATTTCCAAGACTTGTACGACTAGTACGCCTAACATTACTGAATTCAGCGCCTTTGAGCAAGCGTTGCGCTGCGCCTTTTCCAGCAAAGGAGCTTATAGCGCCCTATTAAGTTGCATACCGACCCGGACGCCCACCGCGCCCGCTCGCCCACAATTGTCCGACCGACTGATACTCGTATCGCTTCATTCAGGAAATAAAATATGCAGCAAAGGGATTGATATGGCTGCGGTGCTGCATGGATATAGCACATACATGCAGTACCTATAGTGTAGTTCGCTGCGGACGGTTGGGCGTGTCCGTGCGGCTGCGCTTGGCGCGGTGCCAAACTCGTTCTACACCAGTTGTTGAAGCGGGCAAGTGACAATACTGTATCATATCCTTCGTATTACTAGTCTTCTACCACTTTTTGTCGCAGACGCTCTTCAACAAGAAGGCAGAGAACGGCTTTGATAGGGTGACACACTCATACTGGCTGACACGCCCAACCGTTCCGCAGAGAACTACAGGTACCGTAGCGGTTATTGGCAAGATGCCAGCGAGGAACTCGTTCGAAACTGCTTTCTGAGCCGTGTAGAACGCTAGGGTTTAATGCAAATTTTCGATCGTTCACTTCGCTTTTTGTTCGCCCGATTCCATTATTATATCCGCTGTGTTACGTATGTTAGACCAGGAGTAACCAGAATTATCTGGGCAACGTTATAGTCTCGCTCTGGACTTGTTACCGCTTTTATTCGTTTTGTCCGATTATCAGTGTTTGCAGCCTGATCCAGTGAAGCAGGTGGCGTATTATTTCAAACAGTGTGTGGCTGCCAGTATGAATTGGACTAATGTGGTCAAAAGTGGAAGTATGGTAAAGTCTGCGATCGATAAGATGGCAGCAGGTGGGAATGATGTGACTTCTGCCTGACTTCCAATCAGATGATCTTGAGTACAGTGGGGTCCGCTGCTGACGATGGGGCGTGTCAGACGGGATGAGTTTGGCGCGTAAAGCGAACAAGTGTCAGGACTGCACCATGTCGTTCGTGTCACTCGTTTCCCAACAACTGTTGTCGCGTAACTGCTTCAACAACTGGCAGAGAACGGGTTTTTCACCGTGGCACACTCATACTGCCTGACACTCCCACCTTCCGCATCGAACTACACTATACCTTGAGGTCGCACTGAAGAAGGTTCACGAATAGGAACAAAAAGCTGTGGTTTTCTTGAATTTCAGGAGAGTCTAAGTACGAGAACGAGACACAGTTTCCGTTTTACATGTTCGACCAGAAGGCAAGCGTGAAACCGTTCCCTGACAGAGTCGGATTGGGTTACCTTCTAGGTAAAGTGTTCAGTTGTGTCTCAAGGTTGTGCTTTAATGTTGGGGAATATTACAGTTCACAAGTTTGGTATGTCTGACTAGGACTACTGTATACAATATTGTAAACTTCTATTCTCTAGGCTACCCAGCAGGAGAGAATGGAGCACCAAATTTGGTGTCACCGTTTGTGGATACTAATTGGAAAGATCCTCATGGAACGGACGGCTATGCATTCTACATCGATCAACCATCGACACTGTTACCGTACACATATCACGTGAAAGCATGGAACACATATCAGAATATGCACGTTTTTCTTCTTTGAATTCCGCCTGTTAGTTGACGGCTTGTATAGCAAGGTTGGAAACGTTGAAAAACGCTTCGATATAAAAAAAACCCGGAAAGTGTTTCACTACTGAACAGCCCACAAAGGCGCCTTTCGCGCTGATCTAGGTGGAACCACTTGGTCTGCATTGTTTTCCTCGTTGGTGCGCCCCTTCTCTTCCCCAACTCGCTTCCGAGAGAGGCGCACGAATCGAAGTGATATCACACACGCGATAGTGTAAACAGTGCCTTGTAAAGAACACTGGGACTTGAATTTAGCGCTGGCGAATTGGAGGTGACGCCAAAATACAGCTAATCATAACTATTGATAAGCACGCGACTTGAGCTTGTCCAAGCTTTTTTTGCAAGTGAAGTTCCAATCTGCGAGTTCGAGGTAAACAGATTCTTGTTTGTACTGTTGAACTCGCATTGGCTTGTTTGATTTGGCTGGTCTAATTTTTACCTGGAAGACTGTAAACTGTCTAGCACGCCTCCAGTAGGAGTTCATCCCATTACTTATCTTGGGCTTCAGCTAAGGGGTAACTCATTCATCACGA